GAGCGTTTTCTAGGGTTTTTTACATTTTACAGTGTTGCGTGTCCGTTCGCGGAAAATAGGGATTTTTGAGGATTTAAGGCGCAGGTACAATATCAATCATAGTGTCCGTTCGTCTATTGTATTTTGTAATTTCAAATAAATTCTTGAAATTCTAAATTATTGAATATTCGAAAGTTTTTATCAGATGATTATGTTAATTACTTTAACGCTTTTATTAAATAATTAGATTTATGATATTTGCTGCGGTTAAACTTGGACTCCAAAGTCAGTGCTTTTTCACTAGACGAACGGACACTATGATTGTGTAGCGTGTCCGTCTCGGAAGATAGGGATATTTGGGGATTTTAGGCGCAGGTGTGACACTCCGTGGAGCGCGGAGGCGCTCCGCTCTCAAGGCGCGGATATGAAAATAATAAACTATTATTTCGTTTTCTGTACTTTAATATTTTGAGTTCAATTTAAAACAGATCTTTTACTTTGTGTTAACAAGGCTTTAGAAATTGCTGTGCGAGAACGACTTGTCCGAAACGGGTGACAAAATCATTCTAACGATTCTGCGCTTGGCGGAGGAGATCTTCGCGCGTTGTCCGTCGATTCCCCTTCCTTGATGGATCCTGGATCCTCCCTCAGGATCATCTCTCGTCCAATGGTGGAGGAGTCCACCCCGTCTCGTATAGGCCCCTTCTCCTGGCCGTGGTCCACCCTCAGGCGCGTGGAAGTGGAGGCGCTCCGCCAAGACGCTAGAACGTTGCAGCGCACATGTGCTACGAGAAAGCGTGGGACCCAGAGAAATTAGGAAACGACAAGACCTTGTACTTGCTAAAGCAACTCTTGAGGAAATTTACGACCCTCTTAAAGTGTATGAAAAGACAGGATATCGAAAAGACTTCGTAGCCTTTAAGGACCGTTCGTGACTTGGTCGAAAACAACGAATTGGCTATGGTCTATTATAAATTAGTCGTTCAGGAATTTAGAAGTGAAACTATTCCATTCTCTGGATTTCCGGCCTTCTCTCAGCTCGATCACCCACGTCGAGGGGTTTACAATTTGGGCTTTGTTTATTTTATATATGAGTGTACACACAGATGGTTTAAACTCCGCTCTTAATTTATAACCATCGATACAATAGGTCCTCGAAGAACATTCAAGACATATCGATACAATAGACTATCGACAAATATTCCTATGGCAGTGTCACCATACCACTCTAAACATATTCACGTGATAACGTTTCACGTTACACCTTCCCCCTTATACAAAAAGGTGTTTACATAAAACAGCTTTTTCATTCATAACATCGCGCTTTGATAATATGATAGTAAGTCCGGATTTAATAGTTCATTCAATGTCACTCGTCGTACAACTTCAATAGTTCATTCAATAATCCGTAAATTCGCGCACATCATAATCTGTATAAGTAAACAATACAGACAAAAGGTAGTTCTTCCATGTATTATTAATTGTCTCTGAATTATTCATAGGCAGTAATATTGGTAGAATACAGATACCAGATCTCAAGGCATATTAGTCTAGTTCGGTGCTTCAGCAGGATCACACAGCCTTATATACGCCCAAATAACATAAAGGTAAGCTCTAATTATTCAGCTCACAGTCCATACGACTACAATAACTTGTTTAATAATTCAGAACATTGTTCAAGTAGTAAATATAAGCATATAGGATTAAAATAGTCTTCGCAAGTACAGCAATATTGTCCAGAATATTAGTTAAAATACAAACTTCAATTATCAATAATTAATGATAATAAAACACACAGCACACAACGATTAATTAATGCTAATCTATGTTCAATCCATTTCAGTAGGATCGTCTAGCCTTACATGTGCTAATTTCAGTTTGTTTGTATGAACTATCTTAAACTTATTTCTTCCTAATTCTAATTCCGCTGTTAGATCATTAAACATTCTGCTTATCCTGTAAGGGCTTGTCCAGTCATAATCAAAGTTAGAAATTCTGGGCTCCTTGAGTAAATATACAACATCGTTCACATTAAATTTACGAGGATTAAGCGTTTAATCATAATAATTCTTACTTCATTGTTTCGCCTTTTCCAGATTCTGGGCCGCAATAGTCTGAGTAGTAGTGATCTTAGCAAAGAGCTCGTCAAAGTGTTGTGCAAAGGTACGTGGTGCTTGACCCCTAGCAAATTCAGAGGGTATCCTAGCTTTAAAGCCGAAAACTAACTCGTGAAGAGTAAAACCTGTGGCTTCATGTACGGAGGTATTATATGAGAAAATGCAGAATCTTATCCAATCATCCCAACTTGTTTTTGTGCAATAATGTTTTAGATAATTTATGAAACTTCTGTGTGCCCTTTCAAGCGAACCTAATGACTGTGGATGGAACGCTGTTGAAGTTATTCTTTGGATCTTAAAAATCCTACAGAAATGTTTCATCACCTGGCGAGTGAAATTCCTTCCCTGGTCAGTATGGATTACCCGCGGACGTCCAAACCGACTAATAAATTGCTCAGCAAATGCATGAGCGACAGTTTTTGTGTCGATGGTTCTCAAAGGTATTGCATCTGAATATTTAGTAAGATTATCTTGTATAGTGAGTAGGTACTGATTTCCCTTATCGGTTACGGGTAATGGTCCCACTATATTCATTTGGATTTTTTCAAAAGCTTGTCGAGGAGTATCCGTGATTAACATCGGCTGTTTAGTCTTAGCGGAATAATTTTTATTCTTTTGACAGACGGGGTAGGAGCGAACGAACTCCGCAATTTCCTTTGCCATGCCCGGCCAATAAAAGCGTTCACGAATGAGTTGATACAATTTATAAGTGCCCCTATGACCTCCTACCACCGAATCATGATGTTCTCGGATAATCTGAGATCGTGTTGACCCTAACGGAACTTCAACCTCACCAGCACACAAGGTAATTACGTATTCTGAATTTTTAAAAATTTGCTTAAGTAAGTCTATTATATTACTCCGGTCTGGAGCATTGAATCTATCCGGGTCTATTAAAAGACTGAAGGTTTTGGAGCCCAAAGTATCAAGGAGAGTTTTTAATGATTTTAACGATGATTCAACGTGGCTAAGATCTAATTCGTCATGAGGCTCATTTTTATAAAATAAAAGGAAAACTGAATGCTTTTCATGATGGAAAACTATGGCGTCACCAACTTCAATCTGATACTGTTGCATCAGCTCAATTGTAAATCCAATCCGACTTAGCAAGCCCATAGTAGTCTGAGAAATATCACTGCAATTCAAAGGTGTAAAATGCGCAAGATTATCATGTCGCATAAAAAGATTATCCTCTACATGATGTATAACAGGCAAAGAGGAAGGATCTACCGTAGGTCTATTTATTTCATTATCTAAATTATTGACCAATACTGTACTTCTACTATTTTCACCGCTCTCAACATTATTAAGATCTATAATCTTTACCTTTTTCTTTACAGAAACTGTTACCGAGGTCACAATACCCTTGGGAATCCCAGTGCCAACTTGTCCACGCTGCCTGGTCTCTCTACCAAGGCATTCCACAACATCAACCCTAGAACCATGCAAGAACCAAGCATGTATCCATGCGCGCTGGGCATTGTATAGGTAGAGCGCGCAAATGCACGTTGGTCTGCCCGACATAGCACGAATCATGGCACGCTGGGCAAATTAATGGCCTGTTCGGTTGGAAACATTTTACCGAGCCGCACCCGCATGTAACGTCTGGGGTGGATTTCACGGTTGGTCCAGCACTTCCACTAGCTGCGACCTCATTCTCACACTCACCCGAAACCACTGTTCGAGGCGAGGACAAAACCACACAGTCACGGGGATCACACCCCTGCGCTAGCACAAGCTGCACCGGGACCACACAGGCACCCGCATAGGATGATCCATTCAGAGATTTAAATAAACTTCCTGTTGATACTGCTTCCGAATACAAAGTTCCTTGCACTTTGTTGGTGACCTCGTTTTGTTTAGCGGCTGCCTTCCCGCGTGCCAGGAATGCAGAGGCCACAAGCGACTAATTATAAGCAAACTGCATTTCATCCATCCCGGCCGTTTCAGAACCTGCAACTGGTGTCCCACCTGCGCAGGCAAGCACCCTTTCCAGACACCGTGAACCGGGATTGGAATTCACGCCAGACCGTACGGTAAATGGTAGAGGATCAGAATTTATGCAGGTGTCTACGGGGTTCCGTGAAAGTGCGTCGGCATTGGCGTTAACCTTTCCAGGTTTGTACACTACAGTATAATCGTACTCATTCAATCTAATACGCCACCTCATAATTTTAGACGTTGGATCCTTGACACTGTGTAGCCAAACTAAAGGTCTATGTTCAGTAAGCAACGTAATTGCCGGCCATAAAGGTAGGATCGAAAATGTTCCATTCCAAACAAAACTGCTAACAATTCCTTCTCAATTGTCGAATACTTAATCTCCGCATCATTGAGAGATCTCGATGCATATGCGACTGGAAGATCTTTTCCCACTGGCCCCTGGCTAAGTATGGCGCCTATGGCGTAATTAGAAGCGTCAGTGGTAACAAGGAAGGGCTGAGAAAAATTCGGAAACTGCAATAAAGGTTCCGCACAAATGATGTCTCTCAACGTTTTAAAGGAAGTTTGCACATCGGCAGTCCAACGAATGGGTACGTCCTTCTTTAAAAGTCGAGTCAATGGTTTTGCGATCTTAGCCATATTTGGAACGAAGCGTCTATAATATTCCACGGGACCTAAGAATTGTTTAATATTCTTCCTGGTTTTGGGTACGGGAAATTGTTTTACGGTTCGAATCGTCCCAGGGTCAGGTTTTACACCCTCGTTGGTAATCACATGCCCCAGGTATGCTATTTCTTTTTGTAAAAAGCGGCATTTTTCAGGCTGAAGGGTCAACCCAGCGTTTTGTAAACGAGCTAAAAGAGTCTTTAACTTGCGCCCATGCTCTTCTATGGAGGCTGCATAAACTACAATATCATCCATATATACTAGAAGTTCAACACCCTGCAATCCGGATAATATCAAGTCCATAACCCTTTGAAAAGTGGCTGGAGCATTCTTAAGGCCAAAGGGCATCCTATTAAATTCATAGTGACCGTGGGGAGTGGAGAAAGCCGTTTTAGATTTCAATGCAGGGTCTGCAGGTATCTGATGGAAACCAGAAGCTAAATCTAGTGTACTGAAAGATTTAGTTCCTCCTAACTGATCCAAAATTTCAGTGATATATGGAAGAGGATATGCATCGGCCACAGTTTTCTCGTTCAATTTTCGATAATCGATAACCATCCTCCAGCGTGGTTTACCAGAAGACCCAGGTTTTTTTCGGAACTACCCAAACAGGTGAATTATAAAGGGACACCGAGGGTTGAATAATTTTGTCCTTAAGCAAGGAATCTACTTGCGTTTCTATTTCATTTTTATGGACTGGTGGGTATCTACACTGTTTAGTATGAATAGGTATTTCATCTGTTGTAGTAATAGTGTGATGAGGAACATTGGCTGCTTTTAATTTATCCGTAGGGAGATGAAATTGATACGAAAATTCGTTAACGATTTCTAGAATGCTGGCCTTTTCCCTCTCCTGAAGATGACTTAAATCCAAATATTTTCGTAATTCACTAAATCTCCGAGCCTGATCTGCCGATTTATTTACACTTGGATTCCCTGTTCGAGACGAACGAGATGCAGGAGGTATCAATTCGAATTCCTCTAATTCAATCTGTGGTATCGTAAGGGTAACGAAATCAGACGTAGTGTTAATAACAAACAATTTAGCCAGGCCATCCTGCTAACTTGCCAATACTTCTCCCAAGAAAATACCCGAGCCCAGCGTTGCGCACCGCGGCGGTTTCCCCGTGCCAGGGTTCGCAAGAGAACAGGTCGGTAAATAACGAGACAGATATAGTAGAAAAATATATATGTTTATTGGAGAAACTACCGGTGACTACGGTATATGTATATGATGGTGGCTGTCCTCGCCGGCTGCCTAGGCGGCGGTATTCTCCTGCCTCGGTTACTACAATCCGAATGCGTGCTGGTTGTTAGACGCGTGGAGCCAATCCTTAAGTCTAATGTACATGACTTACTAGCTACGGTCGGAACCCGGTCCGTCACAGAAATTACGCGGCCTTAAATCTAGCGCGGTTCGTAGCCGTTGCTACGCGGTCTTACAATCTAACCGGCGCGATGTCGGAGCGCGGAGTGAAAGCGCTGAACGGAGCGCGAACGCAAGAGAACGCAAACGCAACCGCAAAGTCGGGATAGGATTGGCCCGATTGGACCGACGGTGTTTTATTGAATCGCGCTGCGGTGTTTCGCGCTGCGGTGGAGCTGCTGCCTGCTTGCCTCACGCGGCTCATCTTCTCGTACGCCGAGGTAGAACCGAACAGCGAACGAGTCGACAACCAATCCTGGCCAGCCTGGGTAGCGCCACAAAGCTGGACGGAATCGGCTGCCAAAAGCAGAATGCGGTGCCGAGTAAGCTAGCGCTTTAATCGAAAAATTTCATCAATACGCTAGTGGAAGTTACATTCAAAAGAAAAATCAGTCATTAGTCATTATAAAGCAACGAAGCGAAAGTGCAGCGTAACTACACAGAAAACACATAAGGTTTATAGCAAGCTTAACATTTTCTATTGTATTATGGTAATCACAATATTATAGTTTTGTTTCCTTGTTGTATTATAGGAAAGTAAAATATGCAATATCGTATAAGCGTGGACCAGTTGCAATAGTTGCAAGAAACCTGATATGTATATAACAGATTAAATGAGGAATCAAATTGTATCTAATCTATCTTTCATTGTAATGACCATTCAGAGAATAAAATTATAATAGTTGTAAGGAATAAGAAATAAAACTAACAAACCGTTAAAGATTGAAATTTCTTTATATCTTTAGAAATTAACCTAACCAATTTTCCTCGTATGTCTTCGGATTTACGTATTGTAATAGTTAGAATAACAGTAATATCTAATCGAAGAAATTACTTCTATATCACGTACTTTTATCATATGTACGTACATACATATGTATATATATAAAACTTAAATATTTTAAAAAATATCAAAGAAAGATGCAGTTCAACTCCTTTTTTTAACTGCTTTCCAAGTTAATGTGTTTCATAGTATTAATGTATTAAAAATGTATTTTTATGTATTAGAAAAACGTTAATGTATTAAGAATCGGAACTGAAACCGTAAAATCGGGATTCGAACTGATTCTCCTGGTTTCTTAATTCAGCCATATTGCCATGGACGAAATTATATTATTTCGTCGATTCGTCGATGCTGCTGCCACGTACTTTAGCGGCTTGAGCATCGAGCCGATAACGTAGAAATGACGAGAGCAGCCGAACTCTGCCAAACCCGCAGAGCTCACACGGACACGTGGGACAACGCGCTTGTGTTAGATGAAACAACTGCGGCAGGGGAGTCACTGGGACGTCGTGGGACGTCGTGGAGAGGGTAAAGATTTGTCCCACGTCCCACGGTTCTGGCATCACTGGGCCGAAGCCCCGAGGCAACTCATCGATCCGCGCATCGATCGGTTCTACTTATAGTCTAATCGCACGGGAGTGGGGATGCCGCCGCGGTAGGGGCCTGCGATGCGCGACGCCGATCCGCGGCAGTCATGTTACAAGACCCTTGTTTATTGTCTATTCTGATGTATGTGGACCTATTAAGCCTTTGACAATTGATAACAAAAATTATTTTGTTACATTTATTGATGAATTTACACACTACCCGGTCGTTTATCTTATTACTTACAAGTCTGAAGTGTTTAAAGTTTTTCAAGATTTCGTGGCTAAAAGCGAATCACACTTTAATTTTAAAATCGCATATTTAAACTGTGATAATGGGAACGAATACCTATCCAACGAATTCAAAACCTTTTGCGTACAGAAGGGTATCCAGTATCATTTGACGGTGCCATATACACCGCAGCAGAATTCTGTAGCAGAACGAATGAATAGAACTTTATTAGAAAAAGTCCGTGCCATGATTCATGGTGCTGATTTAACCAAAGAATTATGGGGAGAGGCTATTTTAACAGCAGCCTATTTAATTAATATTACTCCAACTAAAGCCATTGCAGAGGATAAAATACCTTTTGACCTTTGGCATAATAAAAAATCAAAATTAAATTGGTAGAGAATTTTTGGAAGCACTGTGTATATTCATGACAAAAACAGACAAAGTAAATTCGACAAAAAATCGTTTAAAGGCATATTTGTCGGTTACGTGAAAAACGGGTATAAAATATTAAACGTGCATACAGGAAAATTTATCATAGCACGTGATGTCGTTTTTGATGAGTTTAATTTCAAAGACTCAAGACCTTCTGTACGCATAGATAATTTTGAAGAGGAAGGTATTAAAACAAACAGATCCAAAGTTGATGAAGAATCAAAAATCAGTGAGAGTCAAAAGAGTGAAGTAAATGAGTCTGATAAAATAAATGACTTAAATACAAACATTCAGGTTGACTCAAATGAAAGCAAATTGAGACGCAGTGCAAGAATTAGAAATATAATTTACATTGATTATAACGAAGAGCATGATTATCATGTCAATGTACTATCAGCAATTTGCGAAGTTCCCAGATCATATAATGAGATAAAAGACCGCGATGATCGTATTCAGTGGGAGAAAGCGATGAAGGACGAAGTTGACTACCTTCCTTATAATAACACATGGGATATCGTTCCTCGTCCAAAAGACAAAAATATTGTTGGTTGCAAGTGGATTTTTAACATTAAAATGGATGATAAAATAATTTTTAACAAAAAACAAATCCGACTTCGAAATGCACTAAAAAGTGTCAAATAATTTCTATTTCATTTATACCAATATTCCATAGCTATTAATAATATCTACTTAATCGTTAAATAGGATACCAAATACATTTCAAAGTTTTCGGAAGCGGCGCAAAATTAAAAACTTTTCCTCTACTAAGAAGATCCTAACTCGGGCGTCGGCAACCTATGATAAATCACCCATTTGATAATTGCAAGTAAATAATATTCAACGGGAATCAACAAACCCATTGCGAATTAACTATACTGCAATTCACGAGTGACCGCACTTAACTCGCGAGCTAGTGACCTACTGAGGTCTAGGGAGATTTTTAATAGTGCGTGTGATTCCCCTTTACAGCTTGCTTCTTACTTTGCGTTCACATCATTTTTTTTTGTGACAAATAATAGGAATTTCATTGTATCGTGACACTTTACAATATCATCACCGGTTATCAATTATCGTACGTCATATATTTCTGCTCGCCATTTATATGATCGCAAAGTATAATAAGAAGCAAGCTGTAGAGGGGAATAACACACGTTATTAAAAATCTCTCTAGACCTAGTGAGCGGCGCGAGTTAAGTATGGTATCTTGTGAACTGTAGTATAGTGCATGTACATCAGGAGTGCTGCTAATTTCTCATACAATCGTTACAATTACAAATGTTTTCAGCCGGACCTATAATTTTTCTCTTACGACTTATTAATTACCAAGTTTGCCATACCGCAATCAAATCGTTATTGGCAGCATCGTTTGTTCGGGTATTTTTAATTTTGCGCCGCCTCCGAAAACTTTGAAATGTATTTGGTATCCTATTTAACGATTAAGTAGATATTATTAATTTATTTCACACTTTTTAGTGGAACCTGTAGTATTTTTAGGATAGTGTAAGGTGATTTTGGATTTCTGTTACTTAGCTAATAATCATAAACCCAAAAAATATTGACCAAATTTCAATGGTTAATAAACAACAAATTTCATAAATTTTTGCAAGTGGGCTCATCGCGGATATACAGAGTGTCACGCGACTACCTCTACAGCCGAAGAGGAATGATTGCTAAGGGGATTCTAAACAATTTTTTCCTTTTCCAAAATGTTGGTTAAGGCTTGTTTTTCTAGTTATTAACAAAAAACACCGACCAATCCGAGCGCGTACAACGCGCGGGCTCAGGGACTGCAATGTCGGCTATGAAAACCGGGCCTGACGTAGGTCGCGAACGAACGGCTCGGCATCCCGTTGGCATAGCACAATAAAAAAATTGGACGGGTAGAACATTCTTAGTCGTTGTTTAAAATGAATACGGATCCTAATCTCTTGTCGCTTATCATAATGTAAAAAATGAAATTCTAAGCATTCTAAACAATAAATGAAAATGATTGAAATGGAATAATTAATAACCGTTTGAATTGGAAGCCACGTTAATGATGAAAAATTTGAAAACAATATAACTGAAACTTTCACATTCGTTCGTAAATTAATCTACTACGCTGAAAGCAGATAATTGTCACTGGGAATCGAGGAAACACGTTCGGTAGAACAGCAGTTTTCATGATCGGGCCAGTGAACTTCCCTCATTTGTTGCACTTAGGTGTGAGTAATAGGCGGGGTGTTTCCTCATCGAATGTCCAGAATCGACACAGTGATCTAGTGGGAATTATTTGCTTTCAGCGTAGCAAGTTAATTTAGAAACGAATGAGTAAGTTTCATTTAAATTGTTTTCAAATTTTGCATCATTAGCGTAGCCTTCAATTCAAACGTTTATTAATTGTACCACTTCAAACATTTTCATTTGTTGCTTAGGCGTCAAGAGATTAGGTTCCGTATTCATTCTAAACAAAGACTAAATATGTTCTACCAGTTCAGCTTTTTTATTGTGCTATGCCAACGGGGTGTCATGTCGTTCATTCGCGACCTACGTCAGGCCCGGTTTTCGTACTCGACACTGTAGTCCCTGGAACTGCGCGTTATACGCGCTCGGATTAGTCGGTGTTTTTTGTTAATAACTCGAGAACCAAGCCTTAAGCAATATTTTGGCAAAGGAAAAACTTGTTTAGAATCACGTTATCAATCATCCCGCTTCGTCTGTCGAGGTAGTCGCGTGACACCCTGTATATCCTGCTAAATATGAAAGATTTCATCGCGAATGATACATTCCTGGCAGAGTAACATGAAGAAATAGATTTTTTGCTATAACGGTAGTTATTAACAAATTCCATAAATTTTGGCAAGTAGGATCATCGCGCACATACCTCCTACTAAATGTGAATGGTTTCATCACAATCGGTACATTCCCTGCAGCATAAACGCTAGAAGATATAAATGAAGTATAACGTTTTTTGCGATATAGGTCGTTAGGAATGAAAAAGTACAAACATTTTTTTACGAGACCAATCGGGAGACATACTCGACAAGATACAAAATTTTCGATCCGGTTGGTCCATCCGTCTCGGCGTAATCGGTGAACATACATAAAAAAAAATATATATATATATACACATCGAATTGTGTATCCCCCTCCTTTTCGAAGTTGGATAAAAATGTATTTATTATTGTTTTTTGTAACGTTAAGTGGACCGACAATGTCCATTGCGATTTTATCAAAAGTTTTTATTGGTGTATCTGTTATGACTATTGGTTGTCTAGTTTTAACTCTTTTTAATTTTTTCTTTGGTACTCTTCGCATTTTTTTATTCTATTTTGAATATCTTATTTTAGGTTTTCCCAAAAAAATTTGTCTTTTATTCTATTGTATGTTCTGTTTACCCCTGAATGACCTCCTAGTTTTGTAGAGTGAAATGGGTCGAATATTTTGTCTCTGTTTTCCGGTTTTACATATTCGATATTGTTTAAGCAAACTATTATTTTAATGTCGGTTTTATTGTAAGTGTTTTTTACTATTTCTTCTATTTCGTTCCAGTTTATAATTAGTATTTTAATGTCTTTTGAAATGCTAAAGATTTTTATGTTTTTCCGTATAAGTAAGTCTTTTAATCTATTAAATAGTTTTATCAAGTTTTGTTTTATTTTTTCCGATGATGATCCTATGTTTAGACATAAAACAAAGAATTTTTTTTGTTTATTTCTATTATTTCAATTTCATTCTGCGATAGGTTGGGCTTTATTTTTATATTTTCGGGTTTCATTAGTTAGTTGGTGTTTTTATCCAGAGATGTGTTCGGGATTGATGGAGATCCCGGTAGGATTGTGCCGGAAATAATTTTACACCTGCTGGATGGGCTTTTACAAATTTATTTATTTGAGTCGATTGATAAAACAAAGGTTGAACACGCTGATATGATGGTTGTTCGCTGAACACACAAATACAAATATTAGAAAGTTGATCTGTTACCGTGATCCGTCGGATTTGACAATTGGTTTGATCGATAGTCGTGAACAATAAGCCCCGTTAATTCCATAAATTCGGCCCGCTACTTGATGGTGCCCGTGAATGTGTGCTTGATCAACACGTGGTTGGCGGCTTGCGTGTACAATGAATTATCTTGCAAATGAACAATACCTGTCAATCCTGTCGCTTGCACGATCGCTGAGGATTCTGAACAGTTGGTGAACCGGTGATTTGGTTTTTGCTTGGTGATTTACACTTGAGCACTTTTGATTGCACGAAAAAAGGTGAACACGTGATTTGCGCTTGAATCGTTGATCGATAATGGCGGCTTAGCGCGTGAATCGTAGATGGGCAACTCCTGATAGATAAATCGATCGGCCCTGAGCGCCATCATGGGTGAGCGAATTCTCAAACATTTCCGCCCGCCAGTAGCAACTCGTTGATGATGATTCTGCAGGGGTGAGCTCTGCATGATGGTAAACAGGCAGGGTGACAAGCTTGGTCGAACATCGGTCGAACAAGAGTGGTGGTTGTAGTCTTCACGGTTGCAACCCTGGTGAGGGCATCCTTGCCGGGGTGAACTTCGGTCACTCTTGCGAGTGGCTACTTGCTTGGCGGAAGATGCTCGTTTGTGAGCAGCACCAACGAGCCTGTCTTGATGTCGTGAGACGGATAATGCCACTTCGAAATTGACTGACGTCTCTGCAGGTAGTGTAGTGACCACTGAGACCAGAAGTGCTGAACCAGAAGAGCTGAGTAATTTGGTAGTGCAGTCGTCTAATGACATGGGAGCTGACGATTGTGTGGATGACGAAACAGCCCTTAGTAAATCTGGGTGAGTCGCATGCCATTTTGCGAGTGGAAATCCGTCCGCATTGCACAATGCTATCAGCTGTTGAGCGACCTCCACAAGTTCCGAGATTGAGTCTGCTCCTCCAAAGATATCGTCCACATATCTGCCATGTATGAGCGAAGGCGTTGCCAGAGAGAATCGATGACCCTCATCGTGAACAAGTTGCAAGAGTGCTCGTGTCGCCAGGAAGGGAGCCGCTTTTGTGCCATACGTGACAGTTGTGAGCTGGTAAGGGATGACATTGCGGTCTTCATCGATCGAAAGAATTCGCTGGAGATCCCAATCATCCTTGTGAACTGTTACCTGGCGATACATTTTTGTGATATCTGTGGCAAAAATGTGGTGATAATGGCGAAGCCAAATTAGAACATCTGTAACATTCAAGACCAAATTAGCACCAGTATGCATGAGCTTTTGATCTGTTGAATACAACCCTGAGCTTCGTTGTTGAACTGTCGAGACGTAGAACTCCATGGTGAGGCAAATAGTATGGGTGAAGACTGAGGTGTTAAACGGTCAGAAAAGACCCTCAACCCTCCTGATGCTGAAGCATCATGTGCCAAGGTCATCTCCCCATCAGGCCCAACGTTCTCAGCCTCTCTTGAAGTGATCCGTGGATGATCTGGAACCTTTACCATGTGTCCTAATTCTTCATACTCTTTCATGAACTCGACGTAGCGCTGGTTGTATGTTGAATCCTTGGCGAGTCGTCGCAATGTGCTTTGTAGACATTGGTGAGCAATCTTGTGTGAATTGCCTAGTAGTGATGCTGGTGCCTTGAGTGGAATGCGAACGATGTACCTTCCTGTGTGGTCACGAGAGTGAGTTGCACAGAAATGTGCTTCGCATTCTTCTTCCTCCGGTGTGAGCGTGCTTGGAGCGTCCATAGGTGACTCCTCTTGAACCCAGAATTTGGTGAGCAGTTCTTGCAGGTTGCTCTGATCGTCGTGAGCAACTGCAAAATGTGAATAATTAGTATTTGTAGATGATTCGGTGACTGGGCTGATGACGAGCCATCCAAAAATGGAAAGTTGAGCAATTGGTGATGTTGGTGATCCTTTGATGATGTTTGGCTTGATGATCCTTCCGTAGAAATCCGCTCCAATGATTACATCGGCTGGTCGTGGTGTCAAGCAATCATTATCCGCTAATCTCAATTTTCTGATGTGAGGCCAATCCGGAGTTCCCATTGAGAACGATGGCAGGATTGTTGATACGGCTGTGAGCACGTGAGCCTGAATGCAGACAGCCTGTTGTGAATGCAGCGACTGGACAGTGATAGTGACCACGCCCTTAGTTTCAGTTGAATTTGTTCCACCAACACCAATGATTGTGATGGATGATCGGTGTCTCCGGAGGCTGAGGAGGCGGGTGAGTTGTTCGGAAGTGAACGAGATTTCGGAACCTGGATCTATTAAGATGCGGATGGTATGATCTGACGTTGGAGTGGTGAGGACAGCTTGAGCGGTTGCGAGGAGCATTCGTTGATTTGGCGGCTTGACGGCTGCACCGAGTTCCCACTCGGTGGTTTGAGCGGATGAGGAGGCTGTCTTCGGTGAACTGGCTGGAGCTGGAGCGGTGCTTGGCAATAATTTGGGCTTCGTTGGTGGTGGCAGCATGTAAAACACCCCACCATCATGGAGCATCGTGTGATGCTGGAGCTGGCACTGCTTGCACGTTTGATGCGACTTGCATGAGCGGACGTTGTGCCCGCATAAACAGTTAAAGCACAGGCGCTAGGCCTCGACGCATTGCACCCGTTGTTTGGCGTCATTCCTCTGAACAGTTGGCACTCGACGATGTAGTGTTGCTGCCCATAGCAATCACATCGCTCAAATGGGGATGGGCGCTTTAGATAGCACTTCTCGAGTGTGGTCGTTTGATGAGCTGGTTGGCGGGATGGAGCTGCTGGTCGGGCTACTACTGCAGAGTGAGCCGGTCTGCTCACTACTGCGGGCTGAGCTCGTGGTTGAGCGGGCTTTGTCGGCGCAGGCTTCGCAAGAGAACCTCTGGCCTAATCGTCTGCGAGGTGCTCCAACGTCCTGACCCTGGATGTGATAAACTCCATGAGCTTCTCAAACGATGGGTACTCAGTTGTGACTCCAAGCGTGGACTCCCGTCGCTCCTTCGTCGTGCGGTCCATCTTTCGGTACATCTGATGAACAAGCATACAATCGCCGAGCTTGCCTGGTTTAATCAGGTTTTGGACCGCATGCCGGGTCTCCAGGGCAGCCGACATTAGTTGGCTGAGCGCTTTGGCCGGATCCTGGTCCATCGGCAGCGAGACAAGTTGATCCAAGTGAGCCTGCACGAGCCGCCTTTTGTTTCATACCGCTGCTTGAGCAGCTCGATGGCAGCGGATAGTGATGCGCCGATGAGTGGTAGGCTGGACACGATCTGTGCTGGTTCTCCTCGCAGGCAACCCTTGAGGCAGTAGAACTTTTCTACCTGTTTGAGCTCCGGTTTTCCGCATACTACGGAATTGAACAGCTCCAGGAACGACGACCATTCAGTATAGTTGCCAGTGAACCGTGGCAATTCGATGTCTGGCAGCTTTGACTTCGAACACGTCACCTTCCCTGGTTGAGCGGTCGTCTGAGCAGGCAGCTCCGCTGATCTCTTCGCAATGATCTTTTTCGCCATGGTACCAATCTGCTGCATCTGGTAGTGGCAGTCATCGGTAAAGTAGGGGTGATTTGCCTGCGACGTTGTCCACACCACCTCGAAGTGTGCGTGTTCCTTATTGAACACTTTTATGGCCTCGTCGAACTGGGCCTTGGCGTCGTCCAACTCCTCCTTGGAAAGATGCTCTGACTCGTCCTTGAAAGAGTCCAGGATACCTTGAGCATTACGCAATCGGCCTCGCTACGTCCGCACCTTGAGCTAGAGCTCGATCGGCAGCTGATCTGTCGCAGTTGAGCGCGTTGCGTGCTCGTGTGGAGATGATGATCGTCTCGCTGGCTCCGTCACGCTGGGCACGAGAGAGGTGCGAGCGGACCTCGTTTTTCCAGGAACCTCCAGTGATTCTTGTGAGCTGTCTTGCATCTCACTCCACTTTTCGGATGATTTGGATGGGTGAGCCATGGTTGATTAAGGTGATCCAGTAGATCTGCCTTGTTGTTCTGGTGATCTTTTCTATCGATGGATGATTCGTCGTTCTGAGCGCCACCTGTGATGGCGAGAGTGTAAGTGAAATTCTAATAGACGAGAGATGCTAAGATGGCCGACCACCGAAAACCGTTACGAACACGAGACAAAGACTAGAGACGCATAATGATCAATGAGCAATTTTGCAAAAAACCGAGTCCAGCAAGGGCGCAATCCGGCTCGAAGGATCAAATGTTCGGGACTGATGGAGTTCCCGGAAGGATTGTGCCTGAAATAATTTTACACCTGCTGGATGGGCTTTTACAAATTTATTTATTTGAGTCGATTGATAAAACAAAGGTTGAACACGCTGATCTGGCGGTTGTTCATTGTACACACAAATACAAATATTAGAAAGTTGATCTGTTACCGTGATCCGTCAGATTTGACAATTGATTTGATCGATAGTCGTGAACAAGAAGCCCCGTTAATTCTATAAATTCGGCCCGCTATTTGATGCTGCCCGTGAACATGTGCTTGATCAACACGTGGTTGGCGGCTCGCGTGTACAATGAATTATCTTGTAAATGAGCAATACCTGTGAATCATGTCGCTTCTACGATCGCTGAGGATTCTGAACAGTTGGTGAGCCGGTGATCTGGTTTTCGCTTGGTGATTTACACTTGAGCACTTTTGATCGCACGAAAAAAGGTGAACACGTGATTTGCGCCTGAATCGTTGGTCGATAATGGCGGCTTAGCGCGTGAATCGTCGAGAAAACCCCCGCTCACGCGTTGATCCAGATGGGCAACTCCCGATCGATAAATCGATCGACCGTGAGCGCCATCATGGCTGAGCGGATTCTCAAACAATATGCCTTGTTGAGTGATTATATGTACGATGTTATCATTTCTAAATTGAATTGAATTTTTCGTGTAAATTAAATTTTTTTGTTCCTGTTCTTGTATATTGTCTTTTTCTGTTTTATCTTCCTCTTCCTTGCGCTTAGTCGTTTTTCCCTTATTGTTACTATTTGAAGTTGTCTCTTGTGCTAACGGTTCTTGGATATTTTTTCTTGGTCTACCCCTTTTTCCCTTGACTTTGATATGATTGTCGGTTGAAGCTTCCACTTTATCTTTATTTAGAATTTTTGCAGGTGTCGAGTTTTTGCTGATTTCTTTTTTCCCCTGTGCTCTTGCTGTAACGGAGATGTGTACGTTTTCTACTGGATTCCTTGATAGTACATCGGCATTTACGTTTTGCTTACCTGGTTTATAGGCTATATCGTATTCATAATCTGATAGCTTTAGTCTCCATTTCTGGACTCTAGTTTTATTGTCAGCTGTTTTTAGCCAGAATAATGGTTTATGATCTGTAACTATCGTGAATTTCTTTCCATAAATATAGTTTCGAAATGTTTTTATCGCGAACATTATTGCTAAAGCTTCTTTTTCGTAGGTGTCATATTTGATTTCGGCTTCCTGTAATACTCGTGATGCGTATGCAATTCGTCTATCTTTTCCGATTTCTGCTTGTGATGGTACTGCACCTAGGGCGTATTTAGATGCATCTGTCGTGATGACGTATGGTTCGTCGAATTTCGGGTACTGTAGTATAGGTGCGTTGCATAATATTTCTTTGAGTTTTATGAAAGCTTCTTGTTGTTCTGTGTTCCAGAAAAATTTGTTATCTTTTTGTAATAGGATCGTTAAAGGTTTTGCGATTTTTGCGAAGTTATGTATGAATCGTCTGTAGTAGCCTGCGAGTTCTAAGAATTCTCTTATGTTCTTGACGTTCTTAGGAGTTGGAAATATTTGTACAGCTTCTGTTTTTGCTGGGTCGGTTTTATAACTTTCCCACTTAGTATGTGTCCTAGAAAGCATACATCTGATTTAAGGAATTCGCATTTCTCGAGCTCAAGTTTTAATTTTACGTCTCTTAATTTTTGTGCGACTGTGTTAAATCTCGTGTTGAGTTCCTCTAAATTTCCTCCAAATATTATGATGTCGTCAATGAAAACAAAGCAAATTTTCCCAATTGAATCGCCTAGTGCTGTGTTTATTACTCTCTGAAATGTTCGTGGTGAGTTTCTTAATCCGAAAGGTAAGACATTGAATTCGAATCGTCCCAGTGGATGTATGCTGAAAACTGTCTTATGTATGTCTTTTGGGTTCATCTTGATTTGATGGAAGCCTGATTTTAAATCTATTACGTTATATAGTTTTGCCTGTCCTAATTGGTCGAAAATATCAGTTATGTTTGGGAGTAGATATGGGTCTGGAATCGTTTTTTCATTTAATTTCCTGTAGTCTATTACTAGTCTCCATCTTTTCTTTCCATCCGCGGTGGTCGAGCGCTCCGGGTCTGACGCAGAACCTTTGCCGCCTTGCCGACAAAAGAATTTATGCTACTGAAAATCTATGTAGTAATCGTATCATAGATCCGTGTCGGACTACGATCAGAATCGAAGTGAAACAGCTCCTCGTGGCACGCTCGTATTTATACCCGAGATCTGTTTACGTAGCAGTTTTTTCTACACGCGTTTTTGATACCGGAAGCGTTTGGACTTTGACCGGAGTGTACGTGACTCCGCGCGTATCGCTATCTCAGTCTATGCGTAGTGCTATCTCTTTCTACGCGTTATTCCTATCTCTATCTATGTGTCCTACGTCGATCTTTTATCGACGCGGTAGAATTATCGACGCGGTAATTATCGATGTATATTTTTGAGTATAAATTTTGTTAAGTATAAGTATTAATAAATACAAGATTCTTCTCCTATTTGTTAAATATGAATATAATTGTTAATCTGGATCACGTTAATACAATAATAATAAAAACACGAACTGTTACAACTTTAATTGTATAAAAACGAAAAGAAAAAAATAAATATATATTTTAATAATTAATAATGATGGGGCTTTGTATTTATTCTTCTTCTTGCGGGATGTTACAGAAAGAACTACATGATATTCGTGAATCCATACGACGCAAATATGTGCGATCCTGGAATGTGCCCCACCAATTCTCTTACTCTCTTCCTTTAGAAGTCACAGATATTTGTTCAGTATAAATCTAGACGTGCTACAGTAAATATTGGTAAGTACCAAATTACAAGTACCAATATCTTATATTTTAAATAATATATTAATTTAGTCCTCAATGGTTGATGGTTTGTATGGGTATAATTCTGAAAATCACTTGCCCCCGATTTTTTATCCGACTTCGAAAAGGAGGAGGATACACAATTCGATGTGTATTTTTTTTTTCTCTTTTTATGCATATTCACCGATTGCACCGAGACGGATGGACCAATCAGAACGAAACGCTTTGCATCTAGTAGAGTATGTCTCCCGATTGGTCCCGTTAAAAAAACATTTGCACTTTTTCATTCTTGATGATTTTTATAGCAAAAAACGTACTATTTGCTATACGTTCGGCGTACGTTCGCCGACAACTCCGAGATGTATCGACCAATCGGAACGAGACTTTTTGCGTTTTATAGAGTATACCTCCCCATTGGTCCCGTAGAAAAAATATTTTGTATTTTTTCATTCCTAACGACTTTTATCGCAAAAAACGTAATATTTCATTTATATCTTCCGGCGTTTCACATTTCGTAGGAGGTATATTCGCAATAATCCCACTTGCAAAAATTTATGGAATTTGTTAATAACTACTGTTATAGCAAAAAATCTATTCCTTCATGTTACTCTGCAAGGAATGTATCACTCGCGGTGAAACCTTTCACATTTAGTAGGATATTCAGGGTGTCACGCGACTACCTCGACAGCCGAAGAGGGATGATGGCTATGGTGATTATAAAGAACTTTTTCCTTTGCTAAAATGTTGGTTAAGGCTTGGTTTTCGAGTTAATAACAAAAAACACCGACCAATCCGAGCGCGTATAGCGCTCCCAGGGACTGCAATGTCGGGCATGAAAACCGGGCCTGACGTAGGTCGCCAACGAACGGCTTGGCACCCCGTTGGCATAGCACAATAAAAAAACTGAACTGGTAGAACATTTTTAGTCGTTGCTTTGAATGAATACGGAACCTAATCTCTTGTCGCCTGTCATAATGTAAAAAAGGAAATTCTAAGGATTCTAAACAACAAATAAACATGTTTGAAGTGGAATAATTAATAAAGGATTGAATTGAAGGCTACATTAATGACGAAAAAGGGTATAGTCGGATAAGATGGTCAAAAGTGCCCCCAAACCAACTTACTCCAAGTGCCCCCAAACCACTTATTTCGAATACCTTTTCGTGACTAATGATAGCAGCATTAAAGATAAAATAGGCAGTTTCACTCTTTCTGAAGAACGGTTAAAAGCATTTACGGGTTTAACGTGGGAACAGTTGATTCAACTTCGCGAAATGATGACTTCTATAAGGAAGTCGAAACAACGGGACGTAACACAAGCACTTGTAGTATTTTATTTAAATTGCGCACCGGGAATTCTAACACCGTTATCGCTGCGATTCTCGGATTAGAACGGGAGCAGCAAGTGTCTGATTTTTGTACGGCTATAGTAAATTCATTTAAAAAGGATATTTTACCATTGCGTTTCGGATTCGCGGCAGTATCACGAGAAAGTCTCATAGATAACGAAGCATCCATCGTCGCTAAAAGATTATTTAACTTAACTAACAAGCTAGCGCTGATCTTCGATGGTATGTATATCCGTCACCAAAAGAGTTCCAATAACGAATACCAACGAAAATCCTATTCCGGTCAAAAGAAGTCCCCGTTGTGTAAACCTTTCACGGTTTGCACGACAAACGGCTACATCGTCGACGTACTAGGTCCTTTTTATGCCACTCAGAACGATGCTGAGATTACGCGAATCGTGATGCGAGATGCAAATGGTTTGCAAACCATGTTACAATCTGGGGATGTTTGTGTAGTTGACCGTGGATTCTGAGATGTAAAATCGCATTTGGAAGAACGCGGTTTGACAGTGCTTATGCCTGCTCTGAAAGGTAAGCGCAAACAATTAACTACTGCAGAATTAAATGCATCTCGGTACGTCACCAAAATTCGCTGGGTCGTGGAAGCTGTTCACGGCATAATAGGCCAAAAATATAAATTATTACATCACCAAATGGATAACAAAATACTATCTAAAGTTAGCCTATTTTGTAAAATAGCATGTTTCCTACATAACACCTTTGGAAAACGTTTAAATTCAGATATAGGTCTTTGTGATGACATAGTACAGAGAATGTTTTTTCAAAAAAACACAGAAAATTCATTAGCACAACAAGCTGAGAACCACCGCTGGAGCAGGCGCAAAACTTTGTTTAAATCCATGTCAGCTTCCGATGTTTTAGATTTTCCTAAATTAACAGAGACAGATCTCAACATTTTTTTTACCGGATCATACCAATTTTCACAAGCAGTACCATATTTAGCAGAAGTCATGGATGAGCATAATAACTTACATTTTAGTTGCAATAGACAGAATAAGAACATACTTAAATTCGAAATTAGATCACGTCATATTAATAGTAGAACTTACAAATGTTATATTGATTATACACCAAATTCGATCAGATACTCCGGCATAAAGCGCTATTGTTGCGAATGTGCGAACAGTAACCGTACCGTCGGTTGTTGTTGGCACATAGCAGCCATAGTATATTACTTGTCACATGCAAGATTCCTGTCAAGGATTGTGAGGCCCGCGGAAATACTTAGTACGCTATTTAACAGTGAACAAATAACACCTGTAATTCAGGAAGACAGCGATGAAGATTAAGAATCCTATTCTGATTCTTTAGTTCTTTTCCTGCTTCTAAAAAAAAAATAAGTATCGTTCAAACTAAGACTATAAGTGTGCTTCACATCAGAAAATACAAACAATTCTTTAATTATGATAGAAATTTCGTGGCACACCGAAATAATGTTTCTTAATTGATATTTAGTTTGAACGTATTACAGAACTTTACTTTACTTTACCAAAACCACGCGCACTGCATGAAATTGCCATGATGGATTAGAACAAAAGACTACGCACGTGTTCATCGTCACGTTCGTCGACCTTCAGTCGAATTCGGCAGCGGTCGGTCTCACGCATACATAGAGCATTGTGACGTATCACTTTCTTTCAAATTACTACAGATTCTTATGAAATTTGGCACGAACATTCCTTAATGTGTTCTCCTTTGCATGAACCTAAAGGATTGTTTTTAAATTGAAAGAAGCAATGTTTATAACCATTTATATGTAACAAAATGTGGTGATTTTCCTTCAAAGTGGCGCAGAATTTTTAATTTTTGAAATTTTTTTTTACATTTAGGTTCATGCAAATCGTATTATCATACTTGAACTAAATACATCGATTTTTTTGATTTTAGACAATTACAGCAACCTGTAGGCTGCACGGGGCATTCGTGTCAAGCAAACTTCAATCGACTGCAGCTCCGCCATTTTTCAACATTTTTGTAAACAAAAAATTTATATATACTCACTAAATGCCATATAATAACATGCCGTTGACCGTTAATAAAAAAACCTTATACCCTCTTCACAATAAATTCGAGAAAAAACGGCTGTTTACTTGACCCTCCCCCCTTAACTCCCCCTTGTGGATAGTACCTAAAAAACAGGATTCACAAGGAAACAAATTGTGGAGATTGGTAATTGATTTCCGAAAATTAAATGAAAAAACAATCAGCGATGCGTATCCGCTACCCAACATTTCAGACATCTTGGATCAAGTGGGAAGCGCAAAGTACTTCTCCGTGTTTGATTTGAAGTCCAGCTTTCATCAAACACCAATGCATCCAGACGATAAGCATAAGACAGCGTTTACGACACCATTCGGGCACTTCGAATTCAACAGAATGCCTTTTGCGTTGCAAAATGCTGCAGCTACGTTCCAGCGCCTGATGAACAACGTCCTAGACGGACTGCAAGGACTGCAACTATTCGTGTTCATCGACGACATTGTAATTTATGCAAGCTCGTTAAGAGAACACGAAATAAAAGTCAATAGGATGATGGCAAAGCTCAGAGAAGCAAATCTATGCTTGCAACCGGATAAGTGCCAATTTCTAAAAAAGGAAGTAGCATACCTGGGTCACATAATTACAGAAGATGGTGTAAAACCTGACCCAGCAAAGGTTGAAGCGGTCCAAAAGTTCCCCATTCCGAAAACTGTCAAGAATATTAGACAATTTCTAGGATTGCGCGGATACTATAGACGATTTATTAAAGATTTCTCTAAAATAACCAAGCCATTATCCGACCTGACGAAGAAGGAACAGAAATTCGAGTGGTCCAGCCAGCAGCAACAAGCCTTCGAATTCTTTAGGAACATACTATGTGAAGAACCGATCCTGCAGTACCCAGACTTTGAGAGGATCATTATTATACGATCGGAATGATAGTGTGAAAGAGTAGACGAATGAGAATGTATTTAAACAATGAAAGTAAGGAA